AATTTCAGTTTAGATGCCAGGTCCTCTGACACCAAAAGTTTAAGTATTATGTACTTTAGGTGTTTTATTATACGCTTTTATTCTGTACTTTAGGTATTAGGTCCTTACTCAACACTCTAAGTTTGCAGTCCTGCTTCTACCTCTATTCCACTAGAATGTAAACAGTGGCGAGAGAGACACTCTTGACCCCAGCCACCATGGGACACCCAGACCTGAGATGACGTGGCATGTTCCAAGTGTCAATGAAATATTTGTTAAATGGATACATTTGGGATATTAATTAGATATTTTCATAATTTAATTTTAAATTTATATATGATGATGTTATGTGAACTTATAAAGACTGATTAAAATTTAATTTGTCAAAGGAAAATAAAAAATAAATATGTTGAGATAAAAATCTGATAATGTATAATTTGTAACAGAATATGGGTAGATTTCTACAAGTTAATGGCAAAACATTGCAATATCTACGGCTTTTATATACATCTAGTAAAATTTTGTGAAAACTTATTTTTTTAAAACAGAGTAGCTCTGCCCCTGCCTAGGACCAAAATATTAGAATATCATGAGCATCTCAACATTTTTCCCCTAAAAACATTCTAAACAAAGAAAGAAAACAGACTACAGACTCAATTATCTTGTCGCTCTATTATGTTATTAATTAGCACTTTGACCTTTTGAACAGGTGTTCAACAACCTTTTTGAATTCTATAGATTTATTTTGTCAAACAGATCTGATTTGGAATCTGATTTGGAAGTACTATAAGAAGTGACAGTCTTAACTAGATAAGCAATTTTGATAAGATTTTAAAAATCCTTCCACATATTCATTTACTGCAATTCCTACTTTTTGGTTAATTAATATAGCTTGCATTGAGAGAAATTATTTATTAAGCACATTTCAAGGAATTAATAATTTACATCAATTGATACTCAGTACCTGTGTGTTGATTTATAGTTTATAATTCAATTTATAGTTCATAATAGTTCAAAAATGTGTTCCTCAACTAACCTTGGAAGTAGGTTTCACTGATATCTGCCATCAGAGGTAAGGAAACAGACTCAATTGAGTTGTTTGCTCCAAATCACAGTATATAACACTTGCTTATTGACTAGCTTTCAAAAAATTGCATGTTTAACAAAGGCCATACCTATAGTTTGTGGAGAAATGAGTATTGGACTGATTTAAAATCAGGCTATTTAATCTGGGAATGACATTTTAGTAAGCTGGTCCATGGGTGCCTCTTTAAAAAAAAAAAAAGCCATAATGAAAGGTAATTAATAGAAGGAAAATGATTATATGTCTTCCTTGATTATCTTTATCTTACAATTTTATTTGTCAATTATATCTAAATAAAGTTGAAAAAAGGCTCTGGGGGGCACATATACTACTCATATTTCACACCAGCTGTTGCATCAGCTTACATTCAAATTCTGACCCTGCAATTTTACCTACCTAAGATATATAACTGACTTGAAGCTTAATATAAGAAAATATGAAGTTGGGACGATGATAAGTTTTATCCCACAAGATTGTTGCAAAGATCAGCTATGGTAATATATAGAACAAACCCCGGCCAATAGGTAAGTTCTCAGTAAAAGGTGGTTATTGTTAGGTTCTCTATGCTTACAAAATATATTTCCATTGTAGACTTCAAAGTAGTATAGACAGGAAATCACATGTACTGTGTCAGAGGGAAATTGGACAAAATTCTGCCCAGAGAGCAAAGAGAAATGAAAAAGCTACAGTTTCAGAATTTGTCAAACACAGCTGTTCTTTGTATGAGCTTTACATTTTGATTTCTTTGCTTCTCTCATAAATGTATAAGGCCAGAGATAGGCTCCAGGTAAGTAGATATAAGTATATAGTTTAGAAATCTATCCAATGCAACAAATAGGGATTTTTCTTAGAAATTTATTTGAAAATTAAAATGAAAAACTTTCCATTGTTATATTAAAATAAAAAATCAATATCCTCACTCAAGACTTGAAGGTAGGGCTTCCCTGATGGCGCAGTGGTTGAGAGTCCGCCTGCCGATGCGGGGACATGGGTTCATGCCCTGGTCCGGGAAGATCCCACATGCCACGGAGTGGCTGGGCCCGTGAGCCATGGCTGCTAAGCCTGTGCATCCAGAGCCTGTGCTCCACAACGGGAGGAGAGGCCACAGCAGTGAGAGGCTCGTGTACCGCAAAAAAAAAAAAAAAAAAAAAGACTTGAAGGTATATTAATGTTGACCCCTTTTTAGAGATTTGCGTTTTCAAGAAAAATATACGTGTTCGAGGTTGATTCAGTAGAATTAATGATACCCACTATGTGACTGATTCTATTATGTCAGTGGGTTCCTATTTTTGTAAAGTGGTGGAACCCAGTAAAACATATGGAAACCCAGTTTACAAAGCAATTTATAAGTGGAGGTATGTTCACTGAAAAAGGCAGGAGAAACCTGTACATATTCCATTTACCTATACATATGTATAGGGTAGTTTGGTTTTTAACATCTTTATTGGGGTATAATTGCTTTACAATGGTGTGTTAGTTTCTGCTTTATAAGAAAGTGAATCAGTTATACATATACATATGTTCCCATATCTCTTCCCTCTTGCGTCTCCCTCCCTCCCACCCTCCCTATCCCACCCCTCCAGGCGGTCACAAAGCACCGAGCTGATCTCCTTGTGCTATGCGGCTGCTCCCACTAGCTATCTACCTTACGTTTGGTAGTGTATATATG